CAAATACAACACACCTCACAACAATAAGAATTCTGAATTGTGCATTAATTTCAATTTCATACAAAATAATAAAAATTAATATCAATGCAGACTATTGCAGCCACTACTGTATTTTTCCCCTATTAAATAATAACTTAAAACAAAATGTTAATGATCTCTTTACAAGTACATTTTAAAAGCTTAACATAAAAGAATTGAGATCAAAAAAAATACTCAAGAGGAAAAATATGTTGATAAAATTTTAAGCATGGCGCAGTATAAAATATTCAGCTACATTATAATTGTGCAACAAACCTTCTTCCATCCATGTTTCTATGGATACGAAAATTAAACAAAGCTGTAAATTATTGCAGATATAAATTTTTGAAAAAATAATTAACAAAAGTAAATTTGGACTTGGATATCTTGAACATATTATTTCATTTAACAATAAAAATATGTCCAAGTGATGTTGTTGCAGTTCCAAAAACTATTTATAACATTTTTTAATCATTATCTTCAAGTTAAATAAAATCTTCATTTTGGAAGTTTAATCATGATCCTGTAGATTTCCAGATAGCAAGGTTATTGACTGTTATTCAAAATATTGGACCTATACCATTCCTGTTCATATTAATTTTGTGTACAGAATAAAAATTCTGAACTTTATTTGTTTGAAATGGAATGCATGAAAAGCTGTATAAAGTGAAAGAAATACATTGTTTATTTTTTTAAGTAAATAACCTTATTTTAGAACTCTTGTAGAGCACTTGTTTGTGTACACGAAACTATATAATCCTTTGAGATTTATTTATTGAGTTCTTGAGTATCTGTTCAATATAATCTGAAAATAAATAATGAAGTACACACAAAATCTGCATTTCCTTGACCTTTGACTTTCAAATTGTTCTAATGCCTTTATTATACATTCTTAAAAACCCGCGGTAGGTCTCACTTCTAAGACAAGCAAGACCTATTGTGGGTTTCAAACGATGTCAAACGATAAAGTAATAAATAAAAGTAAACAGCTCTATAGCTGAGGAGTTTATTTGATATAAAAGTGAGGACTGGTCATACATTAACTGTGCCTTTTTACAAAATTCTTACCAGAATTTCCTCGTAGTTTTCACGTTCGGAGGTGAGGAAGGCGAACATGGCCCTGAGGTAGGGGTCGTCCAGCTTCTGTAGCAGTGACAGACAGGTCTTCCTCCACAGGGTGTGTCTCTCCTCCGTATAACCCGCTATCGCCATGGCAACCGTACTCAGATCCATACTCTCTGTTAAGGTATAGAGGGTGATTTAAACAAGAGTTATATTACCCCATGGCCACCATATTGTAGGTCAATATTTCTTAGATCCCTTCATAATTCAACCAAGTTCAACTGATTATCCTGGTTACTGAGGTAAAGATAACACTATTTTTCTTATGAATAAACATTTGTTAATTCAAATTTTTTAGAAAATCATTGTAAATCTTTTCCCCCATATATTTCTTGAAAGCATGATTAAAATTGGTTGCTCATGGAGGAAAATTCGCTACTCTGCCCTACAAGATGGTGACTAAGGGGAATAACTCAGAGGCAAAATACTGTCGACATACTTTTTTACACAGGGTCATAATTCCGCGGAATCTCAATTTCTGTTTAATCCGCGGGTAGAAAATTTCACGGATTTCTCAGACTGTCACTATATGCCTTACATTTATATTAAGTACGCTTGGATAAATTCCGTGGAAAATTTGTGACCTGCATACATAGCGTAAATTAATACCACGCAGAAAAATGTACTTGTACAGTATGTAGCCGGAAAAGGGTATTTACAGAGAATTAAATCCCTTGGCAAACATGTCAAATTCTTCACATTTATGTTCATTAATATTTTATTTAATGAGTTCATTATTAAATCATTGAGAGTGATTTAAAAGAGAAAGTTCTGACCTTGACCCTTGGAATTGCTGGTACTAAGGATCTCTATGGCTTTGGAGATTTGAAGATTAAAGAGGGCCATGGCCGCCGCTACAGAGTATTTTCCATCCATTTGTAGTCTAACAGAATGTAAAACGTTTACAGACTGAGTGTTAATTCATTAAAATGCTATAGATATGTCACATTGGTACAGTTAAATTTTGTTTTTATGTTTCAAGAATACTTTGATCACACAAAATATAAACTGAAAGAAATGACTACCAGAAAGTGTGAACATACTCATGTAAAATAGTGTCTAACTGTTCAGCTTTCTGCTTATCAGCACCCCATCCACACAACTGTAGAGCTTTGGTCCTGCAAAGATTATTGCATTTGGTCAATTAACTCTTCCTCATTAGTTCATAGTCATCTGTGTTGTGTGAGAAGTCTATAGTGTGACCCCCAACAAAAACGTGTAGGTATATTTCTCATTTTAAAGATTTGTTTATAGTTTCTGTCAAATCTCAAATTTTTGTGGGGGGTGGGGGGTTAATTTTCGTTGTTTTCAAGGTATGATGAGACCCACAAATTCATGTCCACTACAAGATTAATTCTTGATCCAAAATCAAATCCCCACATAGAAAGAGATTTTCCTCAAACCGCCAAAAATTGACTCCATGAAAATATGTGATTTTACAGTATATTTCTTAACTTTTTTTTAAAATATGCATGTGCAGCATTCATTATTTGGCAACTTTTTTTGAAACAAAAGTACATTTTAACAAGAGATGTTTGTAAAACACTTATGCCCCCCTCCCCCCAAATTGGATTTTTCCTAAGTCCAAAAGTGCATAACTCTGTCTAAAATGGTGCAATCGTACCCAAAACAAAACTTGACTTAGATATTCAGCTGAAAAATCTGTATACTAAATTTTATTTCATTATGTGCAACCTCTGCAAAGAAAATGAACGGAAACTGCAAATAATTGGAATTTTTCTAAGTCAAAGGGGCATAACTCTGACAAAAAGGTTGTGATCGAACCCAAAACAGAACTTGTCCTAGATATTCAGCTGAAACATCCGTATACTAAATTTCATTTGAATATGTGCAACCTCTGCAAAGAAAATGAATGGAAACGGCAAATAAGTGGAATTTTTATAAGTCCAAGGGGCATAACTCTATCAAAAAAGGTGCGATCAAACCCAAAACAGAACTCGACCTAGATATTCAGCTGAAACATCTGTATACTAAATTTCATTTCAATATGTGCAACCTCTGCAAAGAAAATGAATGGAAACTGCAAATAAATGGAATTTTTCTAAGTACAAGGGGCATAACTCTGTCAAAAATGGTGTGATCGTACCCAAAACAGAACTTGACCTAGATATTTACCTGATAAACCTGTATACCAAATTTCATTTCAATATACGGCAGCGGTTGTAAAGAAAATGAACGGAAACTAAATGGACCGACAGACCGACCGACCGACAGACCGACGGACAGCAGCAAAGCAATATGCCCTCCCTTCTTCGAAGGGGGGCATAATAAATATATTCCAATAATCACTTAATATTCATTAGTGCTCCAAAATGTAGTTGCTGGCCTAAGATTGCTGCTGCAATAAATTTTTGACAACATTGGATAGAAAACACTTCAAGATAACTTTTCACGATAACTTGCCTTTCAGTGCTGTGATATTGCCTGACAGAGGACAATTTCCGTGAGAAGTCCGCCGCCCAGTACATATTGACCATCTGAGAGCCTGGTACGTCCTCACTATCCAATCTCAGAATGCTCTTTATTCCTAAGTGTTTACCCAGCATGCTTCGCTGACCTTGTCTCGTATATTCCAGCATCTCTCGAGCATCTGGTTTGAAGACGAGAAAAAAATCTTCACATCTATTTTTAGATCAAATTTTTGAAAAAATATATATGGTACACATTTAAAAAAAAATATTTTTCTCTAAATTGAATGTACATGTTCACTAATATTTGCAATCTAATGAAAATAATACTTTCATCTTGCTCTTTGTTTGTGGCAGTACTATCACTTCTAAAAGAGTTAAATTAATTCTTTCAACAGAATCAAAGAATTACCGGTAGATAAAGGAACTTAATTTAATAAGATTGAGTTTGATCTTACAAACATCTAGTATACGATTTTTAGATTGCAGGTTTTGATTTGTATTTTTACTCACAGGACAACCATCTCCACACTCCATGCAATTCAGGCTCATCTTTTACAGCGAAAACATTGTGCCAGATATGATCAGACTGTAAAGGAACAATGCATTAAAGTCAGTCATTTCCGAGAGACGATGACAAATTATACAGAAAACATATCCTTGGCAGCAAACCTTGACAATATTCAAGTTTTAAATGTTTCTGGGGGTCAAACAGCAAAATCAAGAAATAAATTTCATCTAACATTGAGAAATAAAAATAAAAGTTCTAAACAGTCTTCCTACAGTACAACATCATTATCTCAGACTCCAAGATACAAGGACAAAAAAAGAAATATAAGATTAACTAGATGAGATCTCGTTGCGAGCAACGAGTAGGTCTTCCGTTGAATTTCTCGATAAGATGAGATGTGATTTTGACTGAGATATTCGTTAAAAGAGCATGACATTAAGTTTTCCTTCATTAATTTTAAAGTTTCTGTTTTTATCATGATATTCTGAGCATCTTTTGTTCAATATGGCTTATAAAAATACTCCCCCTTTTCGAAACGTAATGCATAAAAAATATATCATTTTGGCCCCTTGCAACCACTTATTACGTAACATATGATCAAAATTTTATAATATATTGTTGCAAATCGTTAAGATGAATATCTTTGCTTCTCATGATGGATACTTATCAAGAAAGAGTTGAAGATGAAAGACTGTTGACCCCTCTAAACCCCTAATTTAAGGAGTCAGCCCCATTTTCTTGATATCAAATGAAAGGTCTTGTGATTTCAAAGACTTTTTGTTCAACACCTATCCAGAGATTTCTTTTCCTTGTGGATATATGCTTCATATACATATTTAAGGGGTCACTCCTACAAGTCCTTAATGGGGCCGTTTTAGAAAAATTCAAAGTATGCATATTGTTTAGAACATTATTCTGACTATCTTTTGTTCAATATTGCTTATCAAAATATTCCCCCATTTAGAGATATAAAGCGTCAAAGATTTGACATTCTGGCCCCTTGTGGCCACTAATTACGTAACATATGATCCAAATTTTATAATATATTGTTGCAAATCGTTAAGATAAATACTTTTGCTTCAGTAATGTACAACAAAATACTGATCATTAGAGAGTTATAGATAAAAGACTTTTGGCCCATCTGAGCCCCTAATTTGAGGGATCAGCCCCATTTTCTTGATATCAAATGAAAGGTCTTGTGATTTTTAAGATTTTTTGTTCTATTCGTTGTGGAGATATGCTAAATAGAAATATTTAGGGGCCACTCCTACAAGTCCTCAATGGGACCGTTTTACAAAAATTCAAAGTATGCATATTGTTTAAAACATTATTCTGACCATCTTTTGTTCAATATTGCTTATCAAAATATTCCACCTTTTTGAGATATAAAGCGTCAAAGTTTTGATATTCTGGCCCCTTGTGACCCCTAATTACGCAAGATATGCCTAAAAGTTTATAATATATTGTTCTAAATGGTCTAAAATTAAAAAATATCGAAAAATTGAGCAGAAAAATGATAAAATTTTTTGGTCACACGGGGGATTGAACCCGGGTCGCCCGCTTGACAATCCAACGCGCTAACCATTCGGCCATTGGGATCGCCGCTTTGCGTTTTCAAATGCTAATATCTTGAGATTGGCTTTTTTGATTTTCAAACAAATTACATATTTCGCTTCTGCAAAAGGGTCTCTATTCAAATCTAAAACAAAAATATTGAAAAAGAAAAGTTGAAAAATTGCGTTTCTTAAATTCGTTTCCGGTATCGACCGGAAGTATTGACGACGCACGAAAAGGCGATTCTGCAATGCTATAAATCATGAACTATCATCTCCAATTAATCTTTAGTTCATATCTTAAGCAGTTTTCGCTATTAAATCAAGACAAAATTGCATTTTAAAATCAGAAAATTGTCGATATCTCACGACCGGAAGTGACGTCATCAACAGAGAAAATTTCCAATAAGGTTCAGATCAGTACCTATCAGATGTTAAAGTTTCATCAGAATCGGCCCAGTAGTTTACGAGAAATCGCGTGCACAAAATCGGTAAGAATAATAATAACTAGACATGAAACTCGTTGCAAGCAACGAGAGGTCTTCCGTCCGATTCCGGAAGGAAAACGTTAAATCGAGCAGAAGAACTGAAAAAGATTTGCACACAAGGAGGATTGAACCCAAGTCGCCAGCATGAAACTCCAACGCACTAAATACTACGCCATCGCGACCTCTACTCTATATGTACAAAACAGTGCTTTCTGTCTTAAAATTATGAAAGGTAGGTCACTATTCAAAATTCAGCGACAAACGCCACGAGTTAATCTTTGCGCCTTTTCTTTGGAATGTTCTATTAAATAGGTGTGATAGCTTCAATGACATTAAAAAAGAACGTTCTTATAGTCTATTCACGGTTTAGAAAGTATATTTAACATATTTTACAAATTCCATATTGTTTATATGCATTTAACACTAAAGCGGTGAAGCAGTTATGAATTTTTAACTTTTTTTTTCAATTTCCTTTGTATCCCCAAAGTGAATTATCCCGATTAGTTCGACAAAGGTTGAAATGATTCGCCGAAAAACATGGGTCGTCCTACAACGGTCATGGAATCAGATATCATTCTTGCTCAATAACTCTGAGACAAGAATGCTAAAATAAACTCTATTAAGCGATCTTTTAAAATAAAATCTTTCTCTTATTGTTGTCTTATTTATTAGTTTAATATGACACAAGTGTGCATAGGAAAAACAGTAGTTACGATTTATACTTAAAATATTAATCGATATTCTTTTTTTGAGAAAGCATTACTTATAAGCATCATTAAAGATCTGTTTTTCCATGGTGCACAAAAGATATTAGGTGTAGAATTTCCTTTGCACATTAAGTCTTTTACCAATTATAGAAGACGTTAGTTTGACACAGAACTGCAACGAAACTACGACGTGACAATCCAAGCATTCCTTTACATTTCATTTATCCTTGTGTTACTTTCGTTCAAGGAAACGCTCGGCTGCCTCCGTAAACCCCTATTGCGAAATGTCGGCGTTGACAGAGACAGCCGCCATTTTGGACCCGTTTCAGATTTTTGAATGCTAATATCTACAGTTAAGATTTATCAACATTCAAACAAATTATATAGTAAGCATTATAAGAAGGACTTCTATTAACACACCAAAAATAAATGAAAAATACTGAAAAACAAAAAAGTTAGAAAATACTATTTTTTTCAATTTGCATCTCGTAACAACCGGAAGTACTGACGACGCACGAGAAGGTGATTCCGCAAACCACAAAGTGACAAACTATCGTCTTCAATAAGTCTCCAGGTCATAACTTCAGCCATTTTCGTGAAAAAGGGGCGACAAAATTGCATTTTAAAATCAGGAAATTGTCCATAACTTGGCACCAGAAGCGAATTTTTCAAATTTCTCTTCGGATGTAACAACTTCATATAGTGACACATATTTTGTGAAAGTTTCATGAAAAAACGCTGATGGCAGAATAGTTTTCGAGAAATCTCCTGTACAAAATTTTGTCAAAAAAAAAGAATAATAATAAGAATAATAATAAGAAACAGTAGAATTACTATAAGGTCTTCCGTGAAGACGGAAGACCTTAATAATAGGGAAAAAGAAACCGAAGAATAACAAGAAGGTCTTCCGTTGGAGACGGAAGACCTTAATAAGATGAGGAACTAGAGGCCTATGGGCAACAATGCCCACCTGAGTAACTTTAACCACTCATTCTTTATCAGCAAATTTTTCCCCAATATATTCCTATGTAAAATTAAGGTAATATATTGTGACCCCACCCTACCTCCATTTGTCTTGTGTCTGGAAGAGGGTGTGGCCATTTATCTGAACAAATTAGAATGTCCTATAGCCATATACAGGGGGGGGGGGGCTTAAATATATGGCTTAAACCTCCTATCCACATATCAACAGAATTTGAAGTATTGGTGTACAAGGTACCTAAGTTTACTGTTTAAGATTATATATAAAACTGATGACAGAGATAATCATTATCCTCTGACATATTTCTATTACCTGTAACCCGTATCCCTGGATGATCCTTTCCTTCATTTTGACAGAGATATCCAGATGTCCACTCTCCTCTCTGTTCAAAGCATTGTCACTCAGTATCTTACCATGAGCCATGACCAGGTGGGAATCAGCTGACCAGTTCTAAAAATAAACACATGCGAAAATCATGTGACCAGTTCTGAAATTATTACTCATTTTACAATCATGTACATACACTGTACACAGGTCTTGGCAAACAACAAACATTGTAAATATACAAAATATGGACTCTCTTTGGTGGTGCATATGTTTCCCCAAAAAATATCAATTTTGATCTCAGCATAGCCTCAGTCAGTTTTGATATTTTTCTAGTGCACAATTATCCCTGCAGACAAAGCCTTGTCGTTGATATACAATCCTTACAAAAAGAATGTGTTCATATACTACTATACCCCTGATTGTGCCTTGATATGCAATACTTACAAAAGGAATGTGTTCATGCACCACTATATCCCTGAGTGTGCCTTGCTGGGTGATGGTCAGCAATCGACTGTCGTGCTTCGGATGCCAGGAAAATGATGTCACCACTTGAGTATTCAAAACTGAAAAGATCAACATTGATTATTATAAGTTTTCTTTTACCCCTAATTTTTTAAGCATACATCAATAAGTTTCCCTTATTTATCAAAGTTCTATCAAAAAGAATTAGAGCCTATAATCCAAGTACAACATCTGAAACTTATTCTGATGATCTTTTTATGAAATATTTTAGGTTCAATGAACAAATTATGAATTGGCAAATATAATAAGAAATCAACATTGATGCCTGCCTAAAAACTGAAATTGCCAATAATTTTTCTTCCATAAGAGAGAAAATTAAATGTTGTCAACATGTTATTGAGTTGATAAGAACTGGCAGGAATTACACATCTTTGATACCAATTAAAAAGGGGATCACTTTTAGTAAAGAACATATTATTACAATGAAAGAAATTTATAAAGGACTAACAGACAGACAGACTGACTGACCACTAAAGGGCACCACTGAGAGAAGCCCTTATCACACTGCTGGTCAAAACTGCCGTTTAAATAAATAAAAGGATTAAAAAAATAGACTACTTATTTATTACCAAACCTTTAATTGTTCTTTCACTGTAGTACTGATCTAGTTCCTCAGATCCAACTGGTAAATTAAAGAAAAATAATACATGTATAAATATTCTTCTGATGCATTTTAACAATATTGAAGAAATAGGATTTTTTTGCAGTGGCGACTATAGAATTAATGATAATGCTGCCTAGTATGATCTATTACATGTACAACTAATATATAAATGAAGAAATCAATCTTGTTTCAAATTTAAATGATATTGATTGAAGGTAACAAGTAGAATCAATATTTTCCATTTTCTAAACAAAATTCATTCATATCTGTTAACAGGGCTAAAGGTTAAGCCAACATCCTAATCAGCAAATAATTTTGCAGGCCTATACCCAGAAGAAAAAACAATAAAATACAAGCAAAATGCTGATTGTTAACTTTTTTTAATTGTTAATTTTTTTATTGAATTATTTTGATTTGACACGTTTAATGAAAATGAACCTTTAAAATACAGAGTCCCTTAAAATTAAATCATCAAACTATATTGACTTTCAGGATTATGCAATTATGAAATTGCTCATTATAATTCTTTTTTTCATTCATCATTAGTGTGTAATTTCCTCTTCTTTACTATTTGCATACATGTACCTATTCAGAACATTACTTTTTTGGGAAATCCAATCAACCTAAGGAATAAAATTTATAAACACAGAAGAGATCAAAAAGCAGAGTAGAAAAATAATTCACTTCTAGGAGCAGCAAAAAATTCCAAATTTATAAATCACACCATGCTTTTCAAATCACCTTAAAACAATGGCATATTCAATGATCAATATACATGTAATATTAATAAATGCAAATAATGTGTACCTTGAATTTCTGTAATAAAATAAAAGAACCACCTTCAATTTTAAGTTACTGACAGATGTTGTATAGTTGTTAATGAGTGAAGTATAACATAAATCATCTATCCTTATCCTCCTCAATAACTTATTTCCTAATATAGATTCAATATGTTACATTTGTATTCATGATATCCATCTTTAAAGATATCTTTTTACTTTCAAAAATTCTGTCAACATTTACATGCATTTGTGTACTGTAGATCACTTCATTTTCGCGACACCTAATTTTCGCGAGATACTGTAGAAGTACTTTTTTCCGCGTGGTATTAATTTACGCTATGTACGCGGTCACAAATTTTCCGCGGAAATTTGTCCATGCGTTCTTAATATAAATGTAAGGCATATAGTGGCAGTCTAGGAAATCCGCGTAATTTTCTACACGCGGATTAAACAGAAATTGAAATTTCGCGGAATTAAGACCCCGTGGAAAAAAGTACTTATACAGTAGTCATTTACTCTTTATTAGCGAGACAAAATTTTCATGAATTGTGGTCATTGCTCCATATAATCATAAGGAATTCTATTATTAATAATACACGAGAATGAAATTTTCGCGAGCAAACTGTCTCGTTTAATTACGCGAAAATAAAGTTCTCGTGAATAAAAAGTGATTTACAGTATATATACTGTATACAGGGACATTTTCCCTGCAAGCATGAAAGGGTGAAAATAACACGGACCAAAATACCCTCTATAAAGAATATGATGCATGGTTTCTATGAATGCATCAGTTGTTAAAATTACCTTAATCTTACTTTAAATCATTGTATAATCTTACCTGTTTGAGGTAGATGCAGTATGTCGTATATTTTAACTGTCTGGCTGTCCTGACTTAAAATTCCCAGGTAGCCTTTCCTGAAAACCATTGAACAAGTGTTGTATTATTTTATTAAATTGACTGCAGCTGTGTTGCTCATGTTCACACTGTGAAACATCAGTTGCAAAGTAGCAAAACTTTCCAAATTACTTAAAAATGATAAAAATTTCCAATCATGTTATGGAAATTTCCAAATTTCCAATGAAAACGTTATTATTATACACTATTGTCCAGTATTCAGTCTTCAATAATTTGGGTATTTTCCCATTTAATCTTTCGGCAACCTTAATTTTCATTTTCCCTTGGCAATAAATTTCATTATCCTTGGCAAGATCAGAGATAGAAAGATTTATTTTTCATTTTGCAGTAACAACGTTCTTATAATTTCCTATTGTAATACCATATCTGAGACAGTACATGTACTTTCTCTCACACTGTGGGACACCAGCGTATAGAGGAGACAACTTTAGGACAGTACTGTACTTACCTTGTGGGACACCAGCGTATAGAAGAGGCAGCTTTAGGACAGTACTGTACATACCTTGTGGGACACCAGCATATAGAAGAGACAGCTTTAGGACAGTACTGTACTTACCTTGTGGGACACCAGCGTATAGAAAAGACAGCTTTAGGACAGTACTGTACTTACCTTGTGGGACACCAGCGTATAGAAGAGGCAGCTTTAGGACAGTACTGTACATACCTTGTGGGACACCAGCATGTAGAAGAGACAGCTTTAGGACAGTACTGTACTTACCTTGTGGGACACCAGCGTATAGAAGATACAGATTTAGGACAGTACTGTACTTACCTTGTGGGACACCAGCGTATAGAAGAGACAGCTTTAGGACAGTACTGTACTTACCTTGTGGGACACCAGCGTATAGACGAGACAGCTTTAGGTTCCTGAAACGTCAGCATCTTTAAAGTTGATTAAGGAGAAGTTAGATTTAGTCCATGCACTGGGTCAAATTACAGAGAATGTTTCCTCATGCAGTCGTGAAAATAAATTGTCGCAAATTGACCGATTGTAAACAGAAGATGCACAAAGAAGGTTGGTTTACATTATGTCTGTGAATGACACAGTCTTGCATAAAAAATACTCTAGACTTGGAGTGTGCTTGTTTATATATGTATTTAAGCGTTAAAAGGATACAGGTTTGTCAAAGTTCCTCACATCCCAAACACAGACGTGGTTCTGAAATAAAAAGTAATTTATAATCTATTAAATCAATATGAGCTGCAACCTTGATGTTGGAAATTTTTGTTGCAGTATTGTAATAAACTACTATTTCAATGACAGGGAAAATGTACATTTTTAAACTGCTGTTATTCATATTTGTGATTAAAAAAACTATTTTTATGATTTGAACTACTAGCTGTAGAATTAATTTTTTCTGCATGGTTATAATTAGGGCTGGATCAATATATCGGTAATCGGTATATATCGATATTTTTTAGCAATATGATAACCGATACAGAGATGCTTGCGTATTGCTCGATTATTTCAACGTTTAATTAAGAGAAAGAAAAACGTCAAAGTGACTAATATTACGAATGACTAATCTGAAATCGTTTAAACGCATGTAAACATGTCAAAAGTGTAGGGTCGCTATGTAAAAGTTAGCAGCAAAAAGGCAAAATGTAATTATATTTGTCAACAAGAAGTCGCAAGTTCTGGTGGAACAACGAGCCTATATATTATTACCCATCTCAGACGGCATCGCAACATTGACCTGTTTGCTACTGTGATACTTGGAGGCAATTCCGGTAGGTAAAATGGCACGTCGAAAAAAAAAGTCATGGAATGTAAACCGATAATAAGATATCAATCCGAGTTTTTAAGTTATAGTTTATTTTAACTCAAAGCAATTTGGTAAAATATTTAATCTGCCATTACTTCCACGAATACGGCGTCATGTGAAGTATCAACACAGTCAAACAGGTCAATGTTGTGATGTTGTCTGTGGCTTCAGAACGAGTATTTAGCACCAGTGGCAACATATTTACATGCTCAAGGACTTGTCTGAAACCTGACTAAGCGGATCAATGCCTTGATTTTTCTGAAGAAAAATATGGGCAAATAACATTAATCTGTCATACACTTGTCCATTCAAAGAATAAAAAAAAAAACAAGGATTTAAAATGTTTAATCATTGTAAATTTATGCGTTAATAAAAAAATACTATCACCTCTTTAGAAAAACTTGCAAAAAATAGTGTATTCTCATTTGTCTGTTTCGGCAATATGTATCGCACATCGTACCTCTGTATTGCAATATGTATCTCATCGAAAAATTTCTTTCAATACCCAGCCCTAGTTATAATTCTAGCTATG